CAAAGGAGCAGTTGGTGGTTGTCACGGCGATACTGGATGGGTACAGGGGAGATGGCCAGAGGGTTGATATGCATGTATGTTTTTTCTTGAATCCAGGCACGATATGCGGACACAATTGCATTCCCCATGATATCTATACGCCCATTCTACCGATGGGAATGATTTGCTAACGAGAAAATCTTCTAGATCCGCGACGCAATGGGCAACGACTACCACCGCCCCAAGGACGTAGTAGGCGAGAACCGCTACGCATTCACCTCGCACGCCGACTCGGTCTTCGACGTCTGCTTCGCCAACATCTTCACATCTGCCTCGTCGTCCAAGTCGATCAAGCCCCGCCATGTCGAACTCGACATTGACATTGGTGCCGACGCAAAGGACTGGAACGCCATCTCCGCCAGCGAGAAGCTCAAGCCCGTCGAAGCCGAACTGCGTAGGATCGAAGAGGTCGTCGGCGAGATTGTCCGGGAAATGGATTACTTGAGGTGGCGTGAGCAGAGGCTTAGGGATACGAATGAGAGTACCAATGAGAGAGTCAAGTGGTTTGCTGTTGGCACCATGGGCATGCTGGTCGGACTGGGTGCGTGGCAGATTATTTACCTCAGGGCTTATTTCAGGAGCAAGCATCTTATCTAGATGCATGCACGGGATTAAGGGGTTGCAGGGCATGTGTGTACAAGAGGTTGTGAAGGAAGAAAGCAGAGGGAAAAGGCACGTGTACGAACAGCGTTATGGATTGCATACTTGGCAGGCAATGGCAATTGAAGCGGCGTTGGGAGGGGATATTATACCAAGAATAAAAATTCAAAATCATGGTTATAATGGTTCTTTCCAATCAGTATCTATCGGTGACCATGGTTGGTTTCATCACTGGCCAAGTACGTTTGAGACTTCACACATTCACTAGGCAGACAATATCTCAAAAGAGAAAAAAAGACAGGTATTTAAAGCGAGTGGACTTTGTTCCATTTCTCATAGTCGTCATGGAGAAAACGAGGGTACTGCGTATGAATGTCCAGTTACCAAGAACCGGTACTGAACTCTTACGTACGCGATCAAAACGAATGTGTGTTATATACAGCAAGATAGAAAAGAGCGTGAATAGTGCGACGATGCACTGTTTTTTGGAAAAAAAAAGAGGGGAATGTGCTACTCTAGCAGAAAGAACGGAAGAGACTTGGCGGGTTGCAAGTATCTATCATACAGTCACATACTCGATGATGACGGATGTGACGACTGTTGTCTGGGGGTCCGCAGGGGCCGCAGGAGCTGTAGGGGCTGGAGAGGGTTTAGGTGCAGTTGGTTTGTTTGCAGTTGGGGATGTAGCGATTGACGTGTGAGTGGATGATGTGGGTGAAGAAGACGATACCGCTGCAGACTTCTTGACGGAAGAAGAAGCCGCAGACGACACAGACAAAGAGGATGTAGGCACAGATGCTACAACCGACGAAGCCACCGGTGCCGACGTAGCAGAAGTCCCGTTGTTCCCTACTGGCACACTAATCGGCTTCAACAGCACATTCTCGGGCATCTGCCTTGGCACATCTGAATTCTCAATCTCGGATACCAGAGTCGCATTTTTCCATACAAATTTCCCGGCAATGGCGTCGTACTGGCCCGTCATCTGGTGATCGGGTAGTGTCGTATTCGTGCCATCGGGGCCCGGTCCATTGTACACAGGAGGGTTTCCACTGATATCCATATTGTACTGCACGTTGCCGTGCGAGATGGGGACTTGGGTGTCTGATTTAGGGATACTGACTGCGACGTTGCGGATGGTGACGTTGAGGCCTGGAGGGGGCTTGTTGCGTGGGATTTCGGTAAGGTCGAGGGCTTGGATGCGCCAGCTGAAGTTTTCTTTGAGATAGGCTTCGACTGTTTCTTTCTTGAGGTCTTTGAGTTGCCCGGATTTGTGCTTACGCATTAGGGCGTCGGAAAGCCCGATGTTGCCGGCTACGGTGAGAGCGGAGTTGGAGCGAGGAGAGGACATTGCAGCGAGTTGGCCGATGCAGTTGTCGTCGGTTGGCCAGTCGGTTGGGTTGGAACTTGGTTCACCAAGGAAGGCGCGGACGGAGTACGAGATGTGGATATTGGCTGGCATGTTAACCTCGCAAGACCAATCGATAGCTGGTATGGTAGCATTCTTGCCCACTGGAGCTAGCAAGGTTGTGTTTCCTGGTTGGGTTGAGTTGCTGATTGGCAGAGCGGGTGTCTGTGGCTTGTACAACTGGTTGATAGTAGAAGTGAGTGTCTCATTGCTTGGGTTACCAACAAGCTCGGGATAAGTGTAGCCAAAGGCAGTCCAGTCGCGTGACGTGGTAGACGTCCACATGTCGCCCAGAGCATTCATGTGGAATGGTGGCAGAGTGGAGGCTGCCCCTATAACACTGCCTCTGGCAATAGCAAACGTTCCTCGATCTTGTTTGGAATCTTCGACATAGGTATCAGGGTAGCGAGCCTGGAACAGCGCCAGAAGCCGATCAACGTTGCTGGACTTTGTCAGAATGAGCTTTTGTTTTCTCCGAGTAATGTGACATACCAGTGATGGAACCAAAAGACAGGATCAAATGCAGACACTTCTATAATTCCCATGTGTCCGAGTCCAAACACGTTGTGTACACCGTCATGAACGCTTTCAAAGTTGCCAATACTACCACCATTGGCCCTGTTGCTCACTTGGTTATAGGGTTGGTAGGTCGTGAGCAGCTTATAGACAGTATCACGAATACTATCCTGCTGCTTGCCTATTACCACGTTGACATCATCGTCACGACTAGTGGCATTGGCGAAGTAAGGGTTGAGCGGGTAGCGAAGAGTATGATTCCACTCCTTGAATTCATACTCGACCTGGAACAGCGTTAGTACTTTGTATGTATTTACGAGATAGTTTCTACCCGTTGTTTAAGTAGAGTAGTAAGATCACATACCAGTTCAGCAAAGACCTTTTGGGGCACAGGATTGAAATCGTATCGGAAGAGGGGATTCGGGATTTCTCCCACAGTCCCATTCGGATGTGTGACTGAAAGGCATGGAACTCGCAAAGTCGCCGGGATCACACCTTCATCTGATTTCAACGGCTTTCTCGCCCAGTCCCAGAATGGAAGGCGTACTCGAGCCGCGATCTTCAAAGCTTTGTTACGAGCCTGGCCGATAGGGTACTCTTTGGCAACGTCAACTGCGCGGTCGTGGAGAATCTGCTCAAACAGTGCGAGGTACGGGCGGTGCCATGTGCCAAAGATGTTAGATGAATGGGGGCAGTAGCCCATCTTCTCTTGGCCAGGGATACCTTTAACGTTATCCCACTGCCCAAAAGGTACTCCATGTATCCCTTGAAATGTTCAGAAAAGAGGAGTCTTATTAGAGCTGTGATATTTCTTACCTGCAATCTCATAGTACGAAGTCTTCTGAGATTGATCCATGGCCTGGAACCGAGCAAATGCGAGTATAAACATGTTCCAAAGTTCAGCATCTTGCTGAAGCTCTCGGAGCTCCATGCGCGGATGCACCCCGGTCCCCTGTACTCCGACAACGCTGAAGTAGCTGTCATCTGGCTTTGGGGCGCCACAAGAAGGTCCATCAGTGTGGTTGAATGCAGCGTGTGTGCTGCTCAGAAAAGAAAGTAAGGCAATGGACCCAGCAACAAGAGAAGCGAATGATTTCATCGTGGCCAGCCGAGAAAGAATGGAAAGACCTTCAAGATCAAAAGAACGAATGTAGACTGAAAGAGTGAATGTCACTGGGACAGAAAGAGGGACTGAGCAAGCGCCGCTGCAGTGCACATTTGGAAAATGATGCCATCGACTATATAGAAGCTTCGTGAGATTAACGGTCTACGGTGCAATTCTTTCCCCACCTGCAGATGTATGACGTCCTAGGCTGTGCAATGGCTACTTTATGCGTTACCGTTTTTCGAAGCTGCTGATTTGATGACTGCCCGGAGGAAGTGTAATCTCCTTCTAGGGATCCTAGATGGTCGCTGTGGGGGAGTATATGCTCGAAACATGTTTGGTTTCTTCGCATGAACAAACGGGCTCTAATGGCATGGCTGACAGCCCACTTGCAGGGCTAGCCAGAATCAATGGCCGCGGCAGAGGCAATGTTTCCAAGACGCTGAAAAGCTTGAGTTGATAGCGGGGTATTTTGGGGTCGCTAGGTTCAGTCTCTATTGTCGGGGTTCATAGGCTTGCAGGTGGGTGAAGTCACATTGATTCGAGAGAGGCCATTGTGCATGATTGGTTCCCATGATGCCGTATGTTGATCTCTTGGATGGAAGCTACACAAGACGGTTGGTGGTGCCGTCCGGGAGATACCGTGGTGTTGCCAACACGGAGATGACAGGTGCTTGGCACGGACCACCATGCCATGGTGAGACACTTCTGAGGATGGAGTGGACAACCATTGTAGACATCCTGTACATCCTCCATCTGGTTGGCTGGCTTGATATGGCCTTTACACTGAGTTATATGCACGTGTTCATTGCTAACGATAAGGACTGTCACGTCTTGGCAGCTATGCGTTCGTCTCTCCACAAGGGGTGATGTGACGCTTTCAAGGACAACCTATCCTGGCTAGCTTTCTGGATTGATCTTGACTCAATGAAGACGACTTTCCGGAGTATATAGAGAATACGGAGGACAAGTACGTATAAAGGATATTCAGCAACTCATATAGATCCGAGTCGTGGCAGTGTCGGTCTTGATAGACAGCACATCGGTCTCATTCTTGGCGCTCTGGATAAAGAAGGACTTTGTCACTCTATCAGTGAGTAGTAAGCAATATCATGCCATCTAGCCTCCGAGATACTTATAAAGGGGAATTTTCCACAAAGCGAAGACCACATACAGTTGACAATGGTTCATTTGTCAGGTAATGGCTACGGCCCGACCAGAGAGAGAGAGAAAGCGTACAATCATCATTCTTACATACCACACGAGATACACAACCCAGATTAAGACGATCAGCCCAAGGACCTAGAAAAACAAAGATTTTTAAAAAATAACTCAAGTCCCCTTACGCAGAACCACAACCAAATGATCCGCACAACCGCTCGTCTCCACCCGCTCCGCACTCAACATCACAACATCCACCCACCTCTCCATCTCCCCCTCACTCAAACCCGCAAACCCCTTCGCACCCCCCGACCCCAGAAACCCCTCACAACCCACCACCCTCTCCATACCCACTTCGCCTCGGAACGCCGCAAACTCATCTAGCAAACCTGCAGGCTGCACATGAAAAGACGCCGTAGCCGGATTGCGAGTGTACTCCCCACTTTGCAAGTACTGGCTATAAAACTGCCACTCACGCGCGAGACGCGCGGGTTCGCGCACTGCTAGATCGCGGAGGTGGGCGTAGATTGTTACGTAGGCGAGCAGGATGTAGCCGCCGGGTTTGGCCATTTCGATGCAATTTCGTATCACGCATGCTCGGTCTGCGGGCGCGGTGAGGTGGTATAAAGGGCCGAGACAGAGGACTATGTCGAAGGAGGCATGGGAGGTTTTGAGGAGGGGGTGCTGGGGGATGTCGAGTGCGTTTGCGTGGATGATGGCGTTGAGGTGGACGGCTTCTTTTTCTGCGTTTTTTCGTGCAATGTCTAGGTTCTTTTCTGAGAGATCGTTAAGCGTGACTTGATGGCCTTGGTTTGCTAGTGTGATGGCTGTAGTATTTCAGTTAGCTACGATATTCAAAGTGGTTGAGTAATAGGCGTGTTAGACCATATCTGCCGGGTCCACCACCGATGTCTAAGATCTTCGCTCGCCGCAAACCCAACGTAGACAAGCAGGAATTGATAACCCGCTTGGTCACTTCAAACTCCAGGCGTCCTTCGTCCAAGCGATGCTCCTCAGCTTTGGCGTGGGCATCGTACCACTTTTCAACCAGAGTTTTTCCTTCCATCGTTCTCCTCACCGTCAATGATCAATATTTATCATTCAATCGTTAGATGTGATTCATGAAGTTAATTCTATATGGCCAACACATTCTTCAGGGAACCTCCTAGATAAATCTTTTCCCTGCGCGATTAAACACTTGACTGAGGCTTTTATTAGTTATGGTCGGAATAGCATTCCGATAATTGACGCAAATCGCGCGGGTTATCGTCGGTAGGTGGCATTTGTAAATATGACACGATAGCATGAGTATCTTAGTGCGGGGTGGGTGTGGGGAGGGCATAACCAAGAATGTCTGCTGCGAAAACGATTGAGGCAGCTCAGGACTAATTAAAATGTCAAATTTGTAGAATACTTGCGGCACGGCGGGGTTTTGCGTGACATATGGATGGATGCACGTAACTGGGTGACAAAATGAAAATTCAGATTGATTTTGAACAGTAAAATCCAACTCCCAATATTTTACAAAACGGGACTAATCGTAACCATCGTCATACTCACCAAGCGGCAAGTAAGGAATACCCTAAGCACATCCAATACCTCAAAACACCCATCTCTACACGCACCTCCCTTACCTCCGTCCATAAGCCCCACCCTCATCCCTCCTCTCCGTCCTCTTAAATCCCAAACTCCCCGCCTTCCTCGCCTTCCTAGTCGTAGTCTCCTCACCTGTTTGATTTTCAGCATTCAGCACCCTTCTGACACCATAAATCATTTCCTGCTCCTGATCATTATCATAATGTCTGCCATCGAACTCGCTCTCACGGCTAAATAGCGCCATCATATCCTTCATGGTGAGATTCTTGATAGCTTTGCCGCCTTCGATGGCGGCATCGGCGAGCTTGCGTTTTGCTTCTTGGAGCTCGATGATGCGTTCTTCGACAGAGTTGTGGATGCTAAGGCGGTAGACAGTAACATCGACGGTTTGATTAAGGCGGTGGACACGGTCAATTGCCTGTTCTTCTACAAACTGTTGGGAATAGGTTAGTATATTGTAATTTGAAAAGAGGGTAAGGGAGGATAACGTACGGGGTTCCAAAAGGGCTCCATAATGACTACGCGGCTTGCGGCTGTGAGGTTGAGACCGAGACTACCGCATTTCAAACTACATAGCAAGACGCGTGTGCGCTTGTCTTCACGTAGCCTTTGGAGACTTGCTTCGCGCAGATCGTTGCGCATGCTGCCGTCGTAACGGGTGAAGTTGTAGCCAGCGCGGTTGAGGAAAGGCTCAATCAGGTCCAGCATCGAGGTGAACTGCGAGAAGACAATGACCTTGTGCTCGCCCGTCTCCTTCTCTAAAATAGCCAAGAGCTGGCGAATCTTGGTAGATGGCGTCAGTTCGGAAGCATTGTATGAAGACTCTGATGTTTCAGAGTCAGATGCGTCCTCTTCATCGTCTGATCCAGAGCTGGATCCCGACTCATCTGATCCGCTCTCGCTCTCGGTTTCACTGTCAGCCTCGTCATCAGAGTCGACTGCAACAGGCTTCTGCGGTCTCTTGGCTAGCTTCTTGCGCGAAACAGGTGCTTCGTCTTCGCTGTCCGTATCGTGGACAATAAATGAATCGAGGTTGCTTCTGCTCTCGTCTACACTCTCAGATTCATCAGAGTCGACAGTTGCCAAAGTGTCACCACCACCTTCAGCGTTCTCATCGTCAGTCCCACCAGCCTTGCCCAAGTCCTCGGCGTGCCGTTGATCTTCCGGGACAAGCCACTCGCCCTCTTCTTCCTCTTCATCGTCACTATCAACGATGAGTCGGCGATTGCGAGATGATTTTGCGGCGGCTGCCTTTGGCTTCTCATCCTCATCTTCAGTCTCTTCTTCCTCCTCATCTTCTTCTTTGTTATCATCATCAGACTCCACAACGGGTTTTGGTCGACGATGCTTCTTCTCTTCCTTGCCATGCTTGTGCTTGTGCTTACGATGCTTTTTCTTGTCCTTCTTCGTAGACATGTTCAAGTCCTCTTCACATTCAATGCAACGCACTCCACCAGCGGCGGTATTGTCGCTATTAAGGTGGTTTTGGCAAATATCGCACCGCTTTGTTGCAACACTGAGCCCGCCAAGCAAGTCTGCGAGGTCATCCGCATCGTCTCTTGCAGAAGGTTTTCGTGGAGTCTGAAAGCCAGCCGTAGCGCTCGACTTTGAGCCCGTGGTCAAAGCATCCTTATCAGCCCTGACGTTGCTCTTCGTGAGGTTGGGGTGATCGCATGCCTGTCGCAACCGGAGAAGCAATACCAACGCTCCAATGTAATCTTGCTTCTCACCGCCCATCATCTCGTCAAGACGGGCTTGTGTACGATCTCGCAGGCGATCATAGAACATGCGCTCCTTTGCAGTAAACTCTCCTATGACGTTTTCGATATTTCGCGCAACGATATGGAAGGCTGGCTTGTCTTCGCCCTCCTTGGGCTTTCCACCGAAGTTGAGCGCACCTTCCTTTCTAAGCACATCCTTGGTGCGGCGCTTCATGAAAGCTCGCAGAAAGACTTGGAGACGCTTCATAGCCAGATTACCACGACCGTTCTTCATAGGACCTGCTATTGAGTCCTTCCACGACGACAGCGCGCAATAGGGTTGGATACGGAGGAATCTGATCAAACTCTGCAGTTCATCAATGTTGTTTTGCATTGGCGTACCAGTCAGACACCAGCGATAATGAGAGTTGACAGCATAGCAGGCCTTTGTCATCTTGGCGTTCCGATTCTTGATGGTATGTGCCTCATCTAACATCATCCGGTACCAGTTCACAGCGAAACAGCCCTTCTGGAGCCCATCCGGACCGTCTCCACAAGAAGCATGCTCAGAGGCGAGGACCTGGTATGTGGTAATAACGACATCGTACTGCTTAAGCTTATCGGCTGATTTGGTACGGTTGGGGCCATGGTGGACAAGAACTTTGAGTGCGTGCGACTTTGTAACCTTGGTATTGATTTCGGATTCCCATTGCTTGATGAGTGCGAGGGGAGCGACGACAAGCGTGCCCTTACCTGTGGAGTCCGAGATCTTGTTCTTCTTGTTCTCTGGTTCAACGCCTTTCTCTGGTCGCGGATTTGACAGTAGGAGCGCAAGAGACTGCACAGTCTTTCCGAGACCCATGTCATCTGCCAGTATACCGCCCTTGGGAAGCTTGGCTTTCTTGTTATGGTTGCCTGTTTCCTTCTCAATCATCCATGCAACTCCATCAACTTGATGTGGCAGGAGTTTGACTTTGAGGCCTTCGACAGTCCCATCGTCCTCTTCTTCTTCCTCGGGTCCGGCTTCAGCTTCAGGCTTGGTCTCTTCTTCGTCTTTGACTTTGAGTGCTTTGAGACGGTCGGCTAGGGAGTCGCCTGGCTACAATTAGCGACAAGATTATTTTATAGGGTGCTTAACATTAAATACCAGCTTTATCCTCTTGTCGCTTCTTCGTCTTACGAAGTCGCATCCTTGGGATCTTCTGATTATCCTCATCAAATGCTCCCTCTAACAGCGCCTTTATGTTTTCGCTTGCCGCGCCGGAGTCGACATATGCATACATGTCGGGTTCACCAAAGCGACTTCCCTCTTTGCGAATAACCGCATCCGGATCAAAGTCATCTTCGTCATCCAATATGATCGTCTTACGTGCCTCCTGCAGCGGATTGTGTGTGCCCTTGTTCAATGGCTGAAAGTCATCAGCATGGCCCATGGACGAGTATACCGGCCGTGGTGCTGCATGAGTAGTCTTCGCCGGAGCGTTGTAAGGTCTGGCAATGGGTACGGGACCACCTTGGGATGGCCGGGGCTGGAAACTCGAAGCAGGGATCTCGAAGACATCAGAATCGGTAGATGCTGTGCTGTAACGTGATCCCGATTGTGATGAGGGGACCTTAAATGGGCGATTGAGAGTGTCTATACTCGACTGTGAGGGTTGAGATGGTCTTGATTGGCCCGAATATTGTGAAGGTAACTTAGTCGTCTGACTGTGTTCTGGTCGCATCTGCCCTGGCTTAGGCTTATTGAAGAGATGTGAAAACTGTTCGTTGCGGTCTTTCTTCAGTGGGTTCCGCATGGGGCTAGTCTCTCCAAATTTCGGCTGTGAGTTCTTGAGGTCATTCAGAGGCTTTGGCGGGGGGACCGCTCCATCGCGGGGAGGATGAGCCATCGGAGGCTCTCGTTCTCGCACCATCTTCAGTCTGGCCTGGAGAGTTTCTCGCTGCTGTGCGTGGGTCGGGGGACTCTCAATGTCGTCGAAAAGAGTGCTTGAGTCGCCGAGCAAAGAAGTAGACTGCTCGCGGGGGATGTCGCTATCGTCGGAGAAGCCAGGCGTAGCAGGGGTGGTAGGGGCTTTGAAAACGGGCTTTTTGGCGGTAGAGAAGGTGTCGAGTGGTCGGAAAGGCGCACGGTGTTTGCGCGGACTACCGGTCATGGACTAGCCCAGGCTGCAGCCCTTGGAGACAAATGTATGCTCACTATATGTGTGGATATATGTTTCTATCCCCAAGTGGTTTGGCGGGGTTGTTGACAAGATCGCTGTAACCAACAAACCCCTCGCAGCCTGACAGGGCTTGGCGTGTGTTGCCGGGGCACACCGCGACCCACCCAATTACACGTGGGGTCGCGTCCACCATGTCACGCTGTCACGAGATCTACTAGGTCACGGTCCATTCATTCCACTACTACCTATGTACAGACTACAATGTTCCCACATTCACAAACGCCACACACGTCAAATACACATTGTTCAATTACCACTTCCCTCTTAAGCCTGTTCAGTCCTGGCTATTACACTGCTCCGGTCCCGACATCGAAATCCCGGTGTAGACCAGATGATCCTGATTAATGAACCCCACCGCTTTGCCCCTAATGCAATCACTCGCCTCCTGACCAAAGCAGCGGAATGTAGTCTGAGGACTCTGCGTGCCACCCACAGGCTGAGTATCTTCCTCGTAAATCTCGGTGCGTGTATGCTGGAATCCCATGGGCTGAAACGGTAAATTCGGCACGCCATCAACCCCATGTGTAATGCGCAGCAATTCGCCCAAGTTGTTCTCATCTGCACCAGCCAGCTGGTCGGTGAAGTCGGCATATGCTGGGTTTCCCACGCGCAGGGATCCCAAGGTGTATGCTTTTGCAATGGGAACGTTATTAGCCCGGAGATCAGTATAGGCGAGACTGGCTAGTCCACCGCCTAGGCTGTGGCCTACGATGATCGTCTTGTAACCTGGCAGTTGTACATTCAATTCTGCCAGCGCAGCTGTGAGATTAGGTTGTACGGAGCGCCAGGCTTGGAGGAGACCCCCGTGGACCTGGCAATCGGTGCAGCCTGGGGCGCTAGTAAAGGGCTTCAGGAAATAGGCAAAGTCAGTGATGAAATCCTGGACTGAGGCGGAGCCGGGGAAGGACACGATCAGCTCTTTTGCGGCGCTATCTTGGAATACGGCGACTTGGGTTGAGGTTACGATAGAGTTTATTGTTCGGACGAGAACGGAGTGGAAAGGTGGACTAGGGCATTTTCCTTGGTTATAGGTGAAGGCCGAGAGAGAGGCCACAGCGAACCGCGTATAGCGTTGAAGGACAGGCCAGAGTTCTGGTTGGACTATTGCTTCTAGTTAGCAGCAAGGAAAATGCATGGATGGTATGATCTTTATTTGTGACTTACTAAGCTCTCGTGATCTAGTCTGGCGAGTGGTAAGTTCAGAGGCTGGTGTGGGGGCCGCCTGGGTTACAGGTGCTGTAAGAGCTGCGAGGACGATGACTGGGAGCTTCATGATGGTCGTACTAGAGACAGAAGGTAAAGTGAACGAACGTAGCAAGTGATCCAGATATAGATCGTGTTTCTCCTTGGAAGAGGCATCCTTTTACCTTTTTTTTAGATTTATAATTCCTTTAGCCAGACCAGTACGCAATCTGGATCATGGAAATGCCGAGCAAGTGTGGCCGTGTCCAATGGACATGAATCTCACCGCAGATCTACATTGTCAGTAACTCGAAAAGAACTGTTCCTCTGTTTGGAGCAGGAGAAGAGTACGGCATAGTGCCGGTCAAACCGGGCGCTAAAAGACTCTAGCGTCAAGCAAGTGAACGTTTGTACTCTCCTTTCGGTCAAGCATCGGTTCTGTAAACGCCACAATATTTCATTTGTGGCGAGATTGCATCCGTATCGATCGTGTCCAACGCATGTCGACAGCCGACATCGCAAGTATGTAATGTCTGGATCGCTCTGGCCAAGTAGATTAAAAAATAACCCTGCATCCTCAGTTGCACAAGAATATACTCACGCTTGGCTTGATAGCCAAACTCTGGTTGTTTGTAAACACATTTGCGTTGATACCTTTTCGGTCTTGTGCAGTGCGCAAAGAACCTAGTATGCTTACCGAAATTCGCACTGTTTACAAAACGGCCGATCCAACGGTCAGAGCATACTGAGTCGAGATACAGATCGACTCGTGTTTCTCCTAAATAATAGGAAGAATACGAGTTCTGCCCCACGTAATATGAATTTGAAATTACATGACACTACAACAAACAGCATGGTATCAAATCCTATGTGAGACATTCACAAGAGTTGAAAACACATTACATTACTTTATGCAACAAATGGTTTTATATATGAGATGGAGATGGAGAAAAGAAATGTGGAAATAAAGGAATACCAAGGCCCTTCTTACCTCAGTCTGCCCCTATTCCGTCCTTCGTCTCGCCTCGTGACGAGGAACCACAGACTGCTAATCCAACAAAGCACCACCCCCAACCAAGTTTGTGCAGGAGCCTTGAAAAGGGAAATGGCTACAAGTTGGAAGGCGCTCCTGGGGACGGCTACAAAGGTCGCCGTCAGCGGAGATGTCGCCTTGACTAGCAGTAGTGTACTTGAGAAAACAGCCCACGAGCCCATGCCGCCAAATAGCATCATGGCCCAGAAAAACGGAACATCGAGGAACGGAATATTGTGCCATATGTGTGGAACCTCGCCAGAAACAATGACGATGGGTGTAAGCATCATGAGAGAGACAATCGAAGTATAGTGCAGTGTGCGATAAAAAGCGCGAGTTTCTTCTCGGTTACCCGACTCTTCCGAGCCGGTGGGATATCCTGTAAGCACGTCGCCCGAAGGCACAAGGTTTGCGACCATGGTACGGTACGTGCGGAGAAGGAGGATGGGGTAGAGGGCGACGAAGCCAGAAGAGAAGACGCCGGCGACGACCGACTCCCAGGTCACACGGACATCAGGGCGGTAAGAGGCGAAGAAGAGGTTGAGCGTCGCAATGAGGGCGGAAGAGAGAGCACTGCCAGTAATGTTTTCTTTTTGCAGAACACAAGCAAAGATGATTGCGAGTGGAGTTATGCCGATGCGAGCAAGCTGGTAGGTCGGAAGTGGTGCATATCTGATGAGTGTTAGTGGTTGAAATCAAAATGGACTGACAAGGGCACGTACGCAAATGAGTAGTTACTGAGAAGCACCCTGGCCACAAAGACCACCGCGAGGGGCAGCACCTGCTTAGCAATTTGTATATCAAACTCAAACAGTCCACCACCTGCAATACCTCCCGAGCCATTCGAGAGCCAGCGAGCAAAGGCGGAGATGCCAGGTTTTCTGCCCCCTCGGTATGCTCCTCCTTGTGGGGCGGCCGGCTGTGATGGCGGTACAGCAGCACCAAAGCCAATGAAACACAGGAGATTACTGGAGAAGCGTAATAGGCTCGAGACGAGGATGAGGAGAAAGTGGGTGATGATAAGTTGCGCGTAGGATTGGGTCAGGGGAAAGGGGAATCTGTCTTGATTAGCATGTGCCGCAAGCAACAATCCATGTGAATCCTTACTTGTAGACGCCCGTGAGCATGATGAAGCGGTTCATGAGCAGCAGGCCAAAGCTGCATCCGCCGACCCAGAAGACCAGCAGTCCAACCCAGATCTGCCAACCCTTCCACGTGCCAAAAAAGAAGGCCCCCGGGCCGCCCTGCTGCCAAAAGCCACGAAAAGCATGGCCTCCACTCCCGACGTCGCTACTGACTAGCGGCCGTATACTGCTCGTGGGCTCGAAGTCGTCGTCTTCCTCATCTTCGCTCTGTGCAGCGCTGCGATTGCGCGGATATGGGCTGTTGCTGCGGCTGCCTACGTCTATGAGGGGCACGGGCGGCTGCAGCTCCGACTGCGAGTTATGCGCAGAGTGACTCCGCCTCGAGGACTCCATTTGGGCGTAAAACTCGACGTCGGAGTGGTCGGTGTCGTCTATGGAGCCGATGCTATTGTAGCGTTGGTGTGCGTTGCTGTCCTTTCTCTTTTTGTCCCTCGGAAGCTGGACGGGGCCGCGCGAAAGATTGCTGAGGAAATCGAGCGGCTTACGGAATGTGTTCTGGGTAGCCCTAGTGAATGCACGCGACGAATTCATCGTGACGGCTTCATTGCGAGGATCAAAGGGAGCAACTGCATGCTGACGACGTCTGTAGGTTTGCAAAAGTTGAGCACAGGCAGGGACGAGGCCGGCGCTGGCAACCTGGACCCTGGCCTAGTCTAGGGGTATGGTGGGTCCACATCGACTACTACTACTACTACAGAACTTCAACGTCGCTCACATCACCATCTTCATTAGCATCGACATTGATATTGACATGAATATCAACACCATGTTCCTACAGTCTGATACCGCTCACTGAACACGTGATGGCTGCCAGCTCAGTCAGAGAACTGACTGCATTGAGAGATTGTTCCACTGACCCATGGGGAGAGGACTCAGATTGTCTCGTCAAGCGCTCCAACGAAGCATTCGAGTACATTCATGATCAAAAGAAAACTTCCTTTCGCATATCATACGAAGAGTGGGAAGCTGAGGGGAAGGCGGGTTTTGCTCTCCATGAATGGCTGGTACTCCCCAAATTGGCCTCAGAGGTTGCACTGTGTAGACTACGACTTGAGACAACGGGCAACAGCCATCAGCTTAAGAGGCATCCCAATATCGGCACTCATGGTGGAATCAACGCTGCGGTTTACTCAACTCATAGCCTTGACAATGCATCGTTTATACTTGGATGTCATTAGACTCACATGTAATACCCAGAAATCAGGATCGATTGCGACATCCAAAACGATAGTTACACGACGAATGCGGAAGGTAGACATATGCTGCCAATGTTGTAAGCGCCTTGTTTTTTCCTTTCTGGGGTTGGCTTATGCCAACACTGCTGTCACTATACGCGCTCTAGTGAACAAGCAAACCACATGCAGCGTTCCTTTTGTCCAGCGCCAAAGGATCCAGAACCCCAAAGCAAGACAGGAAGGAGATGCAAGGCTGATCCGCAGCCAGGAACAGGCGCACCTAGCCGTATTCCGTGGGAGGGTGGGGGTGGGGCTGACAAGACGATAACGGGCCTATTTTTGTAGTAAGGAAAGCCACCACTTGTCTCAAGGTTTATCGCTGTCGTATGCAAGTCTTGGAGCTGCGAAGTAGGGTTGCATTCTTCTGTTTATCTGTGATCGCCCGAACTCATTGCCCATTAAGGTCAAATGGCCGTCTATTGAATTTGTTAGCTGGGTGATGTGGTTATGCAACTTCTTCGTCCATGATTCTCAGTGCATGGGACGGGCCGCCTGGTGTGAGGCTGCTTATGTTGCAGTACGTACCTTGGACTAATTTCTCACGTCGATATCACTTACAGCCACTAGCCCATGACTCGCAACAAACAAGAGTAAGTAGGTTCCTGAACGAGCCCTGAACTCTTTACCCGCAGTATATGTCCGAACACTCCGCCTTTCTTGCTAAAAGCCGTACTATTGAAAAAAATCATGATTCTCGCGTGCTAGGACTTTGAGTTTTCTCAAGGAAATTCTCGGCCTCCACTATCTTGTACACAGGCTTATCAGGAAGGTGGCCCAAAGAATCGGGGGCAGTATTGGAAAAAGCATCTATTGAATGCTTGGGTCGAATCAAGTTGCGTAGGTGCTCGCATCAGTCACTACACCATTACTTGTACCTGCATCCTATCCTGTACAGTTAGGTACTCCCGTTCTTTAGGAAAGTAGGTCGAGTAGGGAGGCTTGAAGCGGGTCCATGCCCACCCCAGGTTATGCAGCTGACTATACTATGCAGCAATACAACGGCGAAGCTGAACCGACATAAGCGCTGCGTACGATTACGTGCTTGGCATTGGCGGACGTTGGACAGCCAGGGAAGGTCCTTCGACCCCAAAGTGTGGATCGCCGCAGGGTCTTAGATATGAGTAGATCACGGGAGATCCTACGCCGGCCACTAAAACATGAGTGCCAGGGACTAGCACACCAGTGTACCGCTCACAAGCCCTTTGCCCGGTGTTCACTGACCGCATGTTGAAATTCCAAAATTTCGGAACCATCCATCACAAAGCACGGGGGAGCAGCGCAAATCTTCTTCTTCCGCATGGATCCGTCACGAGGCTGTTGTACATGGTAGAACAGCTGTATCAGTCTGCTTGCTTCTCCAGTGCGTGAGATGCGGGGTGGTTAGCCACTGATACCAGTTCGATGCGCAACTCCGGCTTGAACATGGGTAGCTTATTGCCACGCCGGTAGGCTACCGTATAGGCGACGTTACTTGCATGGCGCCAACTGACTTGAATTACACCCTACTGCAGTTGTGTGCTCCATCGATATGCATACTGCTGTATGTTAAGAGAGCTTGAATCAGGAAATCGCCGTTGTGTAAGAGTTCAAAGATATGACTTTACACGCCCTGGCCGGGGGGGCGAAGATCAGAAAGTAGGGTTGTTGGCGTGTCAAGTTGACGTCGGATGGTAGTGCAGTGACGGGTCCAAATGCCGAAAAGTTACCCAAGCCGGACACAGAACACGTGCACGCCGTCCCTACTACCAAGACTTCGGCGCCGACAATCTTCCGCAACTCGCCGTCATGGCCATCTCTTCTACACCTACTCATCTCCCCATCTCTATACCCTTTGCCTTATTCAGCCTTACCAGCGACAAATACAGGCTACAGGTCTCTCTGGTCGTCGGAGTATTTTACGCAAAAGGCAGGAGGAGCTTGGCAAAAGTGAACAGTCCCCGGAGGCGTCGTGATCGACACCATGAACTGACACCATCTCGCCCAATACTCGCGCATGTCTGGGCAATGGGCGAGGCTTGAAGCACCATGACTCCGACGCACTCTTCCGAAATGCTTCTTCTAGCTCCACGATGAATGTTCCTTTCAAGGTGCACCCCTGCGATGCAACACAATGGACCCAGCCTGCACACAAGGCGCGTGTGCGGAATGCCAAATATGCGCGCCATCTTGATCATCACCTTTTACCTTGATACAGCCATTGTCTGCCGTATCTTGCCTTGTTGGTGGCACTCGCCCTCAATCCGCTGCCGCCTTATCTGCCATGTCACTAAAGGTCGGGCTGGGTATATCGGCATGCATTGTGCTAGTTCCCAAAGAAGGAGGTGGTTTCTGCACTTGTGTGCTTTTAAGCTTAATGCTAAGCGGGTCTTGGATGGTCAGCGGACAAAGACGATATGGCTGCACACGACACCAATCGAATCCCGCACCACAACAAGTGGCCCAGAAATTCGAAGAGAGTGTGCCATCGTTCTCAACATCTTGCCCGACGCTTCTGTCATTCGTTCGCCGCCTATCATTGGAGCGGTCATGTGAAGGTCTTTACCCCTGTGGGTAGGGTAGGGCTCCACCGATTATGTGCTCACACATGATGCTTCTCTGCTCATCAAGCTCTTCTAGAGCCCTATTGCTCTTGGAACTGTTACTAGGTGTCACGCTATTTCAAATCATTGACTGCTCTTTGCGTCGAACACTGTCTAGATACCTTCACGTAGGCATTCGAATTTCTACCCTCATGCCAACATAGTGGCTGATCACCCCGTACCGTATGATCTTGTTTCAAGGATGAAAGGAATACAACTATAAACGGAATATTCCATCGCGACATGTGCAGCTCTGCCAAACAACCTTACCAAATTTTGTGGATCCCGAGCTAGCAGACAAAGTCGCAGTTCACTACCTCGAGAATCCCTGGTGACAATCCTGCACGGAGCATGTTCATTTGACAGCCGCCTTGCCACTAGGCCACTCATCGCTTCGCTCCGTTATCTGGATTTCGGCAAGGGCTGCTGCGGGTGTAGATCGATTCATCCCACGGGCCTTCTAGGTTGGATCTCTACGCGCACTTATTCACATCCCTAAACAAGTAAGCAATATTAATATAATATGCATCATGCCAAGACCCGACGTCTGACCTTCTACTACCAGCCTTTCCTCCTTCTCCTAGACGCCCCGCCCACTCTGTCACTGGTACAGCGGGTGCTTGGAAGCGCGTAGTGCCGGAATCACATGCTGTATCACCTCCCAAACTAGGCATCAAAGGTCTACATACGCCATTTTGTGCCGCTTTGGCGACTGGCAACTCTACGCGCCATGGTGTAGGTACGCCGGCTCTGTACGCGATTGTCACATCGGTGATTGCTAGTCCTGATTGGAAGGTGGGCTTGCCTCCTGTCATGTCATTGCAATTAGAGGCTACTGAGTGTGTGTATATAAGAGGGACAGAATGCCTTGTTGAAACATCAGGCAACGAGCACAACAGCATCCAGCCCATCAACAGCAGCACTCATCAACCTTCGCTATATCAGCATCGTTCTTCGATCGTTCTTCAACATGAAGCTCTCACTTCTCCTCGCTCTTCTGCCAGTGGCTCTTGCCCTTCCTGCGCCAGTCATCGTTCCCCGTGCTGGTACTCCCATCCCAGGAAGGTACATTGTCAAGCTCAAGAACCAGAACCTTGAGAACCTCATCAACACTGCCTTGAAGCTTCTCAAGAAGGACCCCACCCACGTCTACAAGTTCGGTGGTTTCGGTGGTTTCTCCGCTGATATTACTGATGACATTGTTGAGCTGCTCCGCAACCTCCCCGGTGTAAGCAATTGATTTCCAACACTACGAGTCTAAGCACTAACAAAGTACACACAGGTCGACTACATCGAGCAGGATGCCGTTGTCCAAGCCAACCTTGGTGTCGAGGTTGAGCTCGAGAAGAAGGCTTACACTACCCAGTCCTCTGCTCCTTGGGGTCTTGCCCGTATCTCCAGCCAGAGCCGTGGCACCACCTCATACACCTACGACACCAGCGGTGGTGAGGGCACCTGCTCTTACGTCATCGACACTGGTATCCAGGTCGACCACCCAGAGTTCGAGGGCCGTGCCACTTGGCTCGCCAACTTCGCTGACAGCTCGAACACTGACGGCAACGGTAATATATACTTATCCTCGAAAGATGACAAGTAGACTAACGGTTTCTAGGCCACGGCACCCACTGTGCCGGTACCATCGGTTCCAAGACCTACGGAGTAGCCAAGAAGACTAAGCTGTACGCTGTCAAGGTCCTCGATGCCAGCGGCTCGGTATGTAAAGACATTGCCTCTTGTTGAGATATGCTGCTAACTATATCAAGGGTACCAACTCCGGTGTTATTGCCGGTATCAACTTCGTTGCCACCGATGCCAAGACCCGTAGCTGCCCCAACGGTGCCGTTGCCAACATGTCTCTTGGTGGCAGCCGCTCCACCGCTGTCAACTCTGCTGCTGCCAATGCTGTTTCTGCTGGCGTCTTCTTTGCCGTTGCTGCTGGTAACTCTGCCGCAAATGCTGCCAACTTCTCTCCCGCATCTGAGCCCACTGTCTACACCGTCGGTGCCACCGACAGCTCCGACCGCCTGGCTACCTTCTCCAACTTCGGCGCATCTGTCGACATCCTTGCCCCTGGTGTCTCTATCCTTTCCACCTGGATTGGCGGCCGCACTGTAAGTTATATCCAAGAAGGATATTCATCAATTTGTTTTTCATACGGCTAACACTTCAACAGAACACCATCTCTGGTACCTCCATGGCTTCTCCCCACGTTGCTGGTCTCGCTGCCTACATCCTGACTCTTGAGGGCAAGAAGACCCCTGCCGCTCTCTCTTCCCGCCTCACTGCTCTCTCCCTCAAGAGCAAGGTCACTGGTCTTCCCTCCGGCACCGTCAACAACCTTGCCTTCAACGGCAACCCCTCCGCTACCTAAGCATGTTGCAAGCTGGTTCTAAGCAGGTCGAGATGATGAGATGCCCTCTCTCTCTCCCTCTCTCCTTTGTGCTCTTTTTCCATTACAACTGTATATATGATGATTGGGTTTCGCATAGGCTTTTGGGCTTGTTGCGCCGATGGTATTGGAAGAGATGGCATGATTGAGATTAAATAAACGATGTCGAACAAATTCTTCTTGATGCATCTAGTGACTTTGAATCTTCTTTTCTCGAAAATACTCAATTTAGATTGCATAAATCGTATACTAACATCTAGTTTTAACCCCCATCTCCCCAAGCATCCCCTTCAGAAAACACACCCATCCGATCCCCGCACCCACTCTACCACCTCATACATCGCAAGGAAATAATTATACAGTAAACATCCCTACCCTTTTCTCTTTCTCCTCGGAAAACCGCACATCCTTTCCCCAATCGCACCTCGCTAATCTACCACTACTACTCCCCTCCCCCGGGTAAAATACCAAGGCTAATCTATCACTCTGCGCAACGCACGAGCCAGTGTTTGTAACCCCGGGTATAAGCCTCGCCTCGCCTCGCGCGGCTATGTGTTTTTTATTTCCACTCATGTACGCGAAGTTTGGCGGGTAGAACAGGACGCACGGTTTGTTGTAAACTAGTTGAGTTGAGGGAGAATGCGGGAGGGAGAGTGCGTGTGGATGTTTTCTATGGTGATGTGCAGGTGGAGGGGGTAAAGGTGCTGGTGGTGTCTTTGCAAGAAGGAAGGTGGGCCGAGCTGTTGTGCTGTTCCCGTGGATGGGGAGGGGATTCCCTGGGCCATGGGGGTGGTGAGGCTGGGAAGGTGGTACGAGGCGGTTGTGTCTGCGAATAGAGGCGCAGAAAGCTTTGGTGTTGGGGTGAGGCGCGATCAGGGATGTTTTTGGGCGACGGTGGGGGTGGGTGGTCGGCTGCTGTTGGGTATGTTGCACAGCGTGAGGTTTCAGGGTGGGACTGGTGGGATTGACGGGGCTTTTGGGACAAAGAACATGTGGTTGGATCTGGAATGGTTTATTAAGGTGGGTCTTCACGATCGGGCAGTGGATGTTCTGGATTATTCTTTGTTCCTTCCATGATACGTATATTAAGAGGCGTTGACACAGTAGTTGTGTATTGGGTCAGGTGGCTTTACTATGCCGCAGCCACAGGTAGGTTGTGCCGCAGCTGCACGTGTCCGTTGAACTACCAAATCGATATCGTTTGTTTGTGGTGATATTTTTGCCCCCTTTTAGTGCACTGTATACACCTCATAGGTCAAAAGATACGGTTTTTACTGCTCTATCTAAAGCTTCAAACTACTTGAATGATAATAAGCCTTATTGTAACCCAAAAAGAATTAGGAGCACATGGCGCTACTATGAAATCTTATTCCAACAACCCGACTGTCACCACATGCCACGCCGTTCTTGTCCGCCCTGAAAGAAACACTGCAGCAGATACAGCATGAGACATTGGTCCAAGTAAGGTTGCACTGCATATGTACAATCCTATCACCTATTGACTCTCACGGACTGCGTGTTTAAATGCCACAGGAGCTGCCCCCTTTAGTAAATAATGGCCGGTACAGCATGTATATTTATCAGTAGCGCTGCCTTCCAAGTAGATAAACCAGAGCTTACAATATTGGTCAATTCTTTACTTTGTTATAACTCAACATACTATCATTCACTTCAAGATCTTTCTGCGATAATGTACTTCCTTCTGCTATCCTTGCTTGCTTCACTTGCAACAGCTACACCCTTAGTCAAAGTACGCCGTAGCAATGCCATCACCAACAAATGGATTGTCAAACTCAAGGACAATGTCGCTACTATGGCTGTCGATGGCGTGAAAGCAGCCCTTTCCACCGAGCCCGACTACCAGTATTCGATGCCTGGCTTCCGAGGGTTTGCAGGAACTCTGTCCGAAGAGGAGGTAGCGTTGCTACAAGCTTCTGATCAAGTAAGGCACTAGTAACAACTTTTTGAAGTTTCTGTGCTGATTTGTATAGATCGAGTATATTCAGCAAGACGCTCAAGTTTACACGACGGCACTTGTCAAGCAGCTGAATGCTACTTGGGGAATATCTCGTATTTCGCATACGAAGCCGAGCGAAGCCACTTATCTCTACGATTCCAGTGCTGGAGAAGGAACTTGTGCGTATGTTTTTATCTGCCAATAGCTGTTCTGTGGGTATTATTGACAAAGCGTAAAGTTATGTGATTGATACAGGCGTCGACATTACGCATCCCGAGTTCCAAGGACGTAAGTAATGGCGCTCGAATACAAGGCTCGCACACTGACTCAGTAACAGGCGCCTTCTTTCTGGCAGATCTCACTCATGAAGGTAATTTTGTAGACGGTTATGGTCATGGAACGCACGTCGCCGGGACGATTGGATCTACCACTTGGGGCGTAGCGAAGAAAACTACCATCTTTGCTGTGCGAGTGCTCGACTCCAATGGCTCGGGTACGAACGCTGATGTGATTGCGGGAATGGAGTTCATCTTGCGAGATGCAAGAGAGCGCAGGGGAACGGATCAGTGTCGCAATGGCTTTGTTGTCAACATCAGCTTAGGAAGTGAAAAGCTTCCAGCCTTGAATGATGCTGTAAGTGGTTCTTGTCAAGTTATTGTTTTTCCGAATGCTGATTAAGATACAAGGCCGCAGCTATGGTTGCCGAGGATATCTTTCTAGGAGTTGCAGCAGGTAACGACGGCGTTCCGGCTGATGATTTCTCTCCAGGGTCCGAGCCTTCGGTCTGCACTGTAGGAGCAACGGCGCCGAACGATACACTTACCTCATGGTCCAATCATGGTCCTCGGATCGATATTCTGGCTCCCGGCCTAGACATCACTAGCACTCTTCCCAACGGTGTGGTTGACTCGTTTTCTGGTACAAGTATGGCAGCTCCGCATGTTGTTGGACTTGCAGCGTATGTGCTCGGACTCGGGTCACCATCAAAGGATCTATGCGGTACAATCGCTGCCTTGGCGATTAAGAATGCGATCGATCAAGATACGCTTCCAAAAGGGACACCGAACCTGCTGGCGTTCAATGGCGCCGATGCCAGCCAGAAGCGTATGAAGCATCTATAGATTTATTTGAGAGAAGTGAAGAAGTACGGTATTGTTCGGAATTCGTCATAGTGATCTGGGATATACCTTGTGTATGAATGCAGGTGTCAATATCATGGCCATAGATATCGCTCAGATGCGCATGCCTGTCTGATCGATAATTCTCGAAGACGCTAGAGTCACAGCCACAATGCTATATTGCCGATGGAAGCTTGACCATAAACAATGACACAGTATAAGTAATCAGTTTGCAGACCATTATGTGAGACCCGTTTTTGCCGGTCCGTCTCACCTCAGGCCCTGTCAGCGACAAACGGCCTATGGCAGTCCAGCAATAAATTCTCCGAACTCCATGGCTATGCCAACACTTGTGCATGCAAACGGTAACTTTGAGACCCGAGCCTTGTAAGGGTGATGTCGCCCAAGCGATTATCGCCGATCGGAGCTTCCCCAACCCTGCTGGCATAGCGCGATCGACCAACCACCGACAATCAGACGAGGGAATTGCGGGGTAGGGGTATGCAATAACAGGCTAGTCCAGCCTGCACACGCGACTTTTCTCCAGGACCCAAGCATCCCAGCTTGATTGCCTCTCATACTTGATCCCACTATCTGTTAATCATTACAGGCGCTTAGTAGCTCTCCCTCAATCACACGGCACTCGTCACCGCGGAACCACAAGTCATGGCGTCATACTTTGATCTCCCGCCACAGAAAGTGGCAGCACCAGCGTGTATAGAGCAGATACCTCAAGAACAACGGAATCAGCTGGGCCGCACTAGCAGCCTGATGTCCCCAGCCGTCGCTCAGATCCTTGAAGGACTAGGAGATGACCACTCGAGTAGCAGCGACGAAGACTCGGACCTATCAGACGATCAAGAGAAGGGACATCCCCAATCGCAATCTAAGAAGGATATCAGCGCCCAGAAGATACAAAAAAAGAAGCAAAAGTTCAACTCGGCTCAAGCACCTCGGCCGTCCTCTCTCTCTCCGAACAGAAGCAGAAGTCGCTCCAGGTCAGCAACCAGAAAGGTTTCCAATATGCCGTCATCTGCAGATGCCAACGGAGCCAGTTCCGATAAACCTAAAAACAAACAACCACACATGGCCCGCTTCCATTCTCTCCGAAGTATTCTTTTCCAGCAGAAGATCGAAGACCGTTTGAGGACGGCTACGCAGGAAGATTGCAACAAGGAGGTCAGTGCTGCGGAGACGTGGCAAAATCAACACAAAGAGCGCCAGATGCATCATCCAACAACGCCCGAAAAACATGCGCAAGCGAAGAGCGGAATTGGAAGTAGGCTTAAGATGACGCTGCGGAGGATGACAACCAGGGATGCAGGGGGAATGGAGAAGATTAAGGAGGATGGAGCACCGGTTGAATTCAAAGAGCGTCCATCGACTCTTTCCTCGGAAAATGAAGAGAAAGAACCGGAATCAAAGAAAGCGAACGAGAATGATGACGCCAGCATCAAGGAGACTGATGTTGACGACCTTGTTCGATGGGTTAGCCGGCGCGGTTCGGCTGGTGAGGGTGAGGTGCAGAAAGATGACATTATAGAGGGTGCCAAGGACGAAAGTGCCCAGGACAGCCTTGGTCGTTCCGATATTGAAGATCTCGTTCACCATGCAAGAAGGAAATCGTCCACCAAAGGTGTCCAGGAAGCCAGCGATGAACAACTGGGATATAGCGACGCACCCACGGAGCCAGATACCGACCTTTCGTCAGACGAGGAAGAGAATGCGGACGACCTTGTACGCTGGATATCGCGTCGTGATAGATCCAAAGCCGGTCCAGTAAGGCGAAATCTGCAACGAGAAGAGTTGGATTCCGACGTAGAAGAACACTACGACTCGGACGTCCCAGAACTAGGCCGATGGTACAAACGCCACGATGCCACCAGTGGAGAATCGGGAGCCACCACCCCAATCAAAGACGCGTTTGAACAACAGCAGATAGAAGAAGAAGAAGAAAACCGCGGCCGACCTCGAAGCCGCGAATTACCTGAGCCACCTACTCAAGAAAAAACCCACCTTTCATCCTCCGACGTCGACGAGCTCGTCCGCTGGGTAAGCAGCAAAAGCCTAAACCTAAAACGCCACGACACTCCTCTTTCTCAGGCGCAAACCCAGGCCGGGACTCCAGACAGCACGCAGGAAGAAAAGAAACAGGCCGTAGGTATGACTCTGGACCAAGGAAGCTTATCCCACCGCGACGTCCAAGATTTGATCGAGCATGCGCGCAAAACAAGCATACCAGCAGATGACACCAGTCCAGACTCTTCCAGCATCGAACGAGGCGACCTAAAGAACATGCAGCGTGAGAATAGTCTGCCAGCTCGTGACCCACAGCTCGAGCTAGCGGGGAAAAGAGAGGATATCAGAAACAAGGAAAAGGAAGAACAGCTCGGTATGAGTTTGCAAGATGGTAGTTTGAGCCATGGCGATATCGAGGATTTGCTCGCACATGTCAGGAGCAAGTAGTGAGTAAGTGAGAATTCAAGTGGGGAAGTTGAAGCTTTTTGGGGGTGCGGGAGCCCCCGGACGCCAAGTGGGGTCATCGTTCAGGGATAGTAGCGGGTTTGGGAAGGTGACGGACTAGGACTCTAATGGGTAGTGTATATTTGTTTAAAGAGGAAAGGAGTTTTTTTTGTGAACTTTTTTTCGATTGAAAGCGTGTGCTTTTTGGTGTTTTGAGCGATTTGGGGATAGATATGTAGGTTGGTAATGTGTAGTGTAGTGTAGTTCCCAAGAAGTGCTTAACATAGTTCAGTGGCATTTTACATTGGTGTTCAGATTACGACATAGAACGAGTAGTAAAAACATGGCTACTCATACACTGATCTAATGAAGCCCGAAAAAAAAGAAACTTGAATGTTGCAGCATAGCTTTTTCGCGATGCCAACACATCTACTCCATAAACACCCGGAAAAGGAAAAGAAAGGGCCCTACCGCAGGCTCTAGACCGCAAAAAAACGAAAGTAGCACTCTCAATCCAGCGTGACCGCATCAACCCCTTCAAACTGCAACCGCCTAAACATACTCCTGATAGTCCCACAATTCTTATCCCGCTCCTCATCCCTCGGCCTCATCTCCGTCCTCATCTTGCCAAGCATATTAGTGCCATCCCCGCGATGCCCGCCCTCCTTGATATTCGTAAAGAACATGCGTCGGCCGGTCTGATCCAGCGGCTCCCACTTGGCAATGCTGACATCCTTGCGGGGAATAACCTGGTGCTCGCGGTTCGGATCGAGGAACTTGACGAATGAAATGAAGTAGTCTGAGATTTCGTTTTGACGGCGGACCATGACTTGGCCGACAGTGCCGGCGTGTTTGGTACCGAAGCCGTTTTCAATGTCAACACCCCACATGACGTCCCATTGGTATTGGTAGGTGGGGACGTCGGACGGGTTGAAGCGCGAGATGGCGTTGGAGGCGAGGTAGGTCGGGCAGATGTAGCGAATGTCACCTTGGGCTTTGGCGACGGCATCCCACCATTTGCCGCTGTCGGGCCAGTGGCGGTCGTTGGGGTAGGTGTTCTTTAGTGTCTCGAGGTCTTCGTCTGTGAGCAGGGGGTAGTGGTCCTTGAGGTATGATTTGAATTCTCCTTCATTGTCGGTCGCTTTCTTGACCTGGTCGGAGCCTTCGTTGGAGGTGAAGCCGATAATCGTAGGGACTTTGGCATATTTGTTGGACAGTATTGCGGCAGGGGCGGGCTGGGTGAACATGCCACCTTTGGGCTCGGTCGTCGGGGCCCACATCCAGCGGGGCGGAGTATTCCGGCCGGGGAAGGACATGGGGTAGTTTTCATAGTATAGGTCGCCAGTCTCGGCATTGCGAACGCAAGCGATATCTGTACAGTTCAGCCCATCTGCAACTTCATTCCAAAACTTCTCAGCCTGGTCGGGTGTGAAGAAGGTTGGGCTTGCGGGCGACTGTGCGATGGCTCCGTGGAAGAGTCGCTTGCGGCCGGTGCCAGGAACATTGTAGTAGTTGTCGCCTTCGTTCGCAGTCAAGTGGAGCATGACTGATGCGCCGCCCGCACTGGTGCCCATTATGACTACGTGGTCAGGGTTACCGCCAAAGTAACGAATGTACTTTTGTACCCATTCCAACGCTGCCCTCTGGTCGCGCAATCCGTTATTGTAATCGCCATCCTGCGCGATCTCTTTTCCGGAAAGAAAACCGTAAATGCCGTTGCGGTAGTACATGGTGACTACAACGATACCCTTGTCCAGCTTGCCGTCCACGCCTTTTTCACGACGAGCCTTCTCTACCATTTCGCCTCCATTACTGCGTCCGGGAAGATGGAAACCACCACCGGGAATGTTGACTAAAACAGGGAGATCATCACCGGGCTCAGCATCGATTGGCGTGAAGACATTGAGACTCAGGCAATCCTCCGTAGACCGTGTCTTGATACCCAGGACGTCGGGACCTGAAATGTCCTTTCTGTTCCTCTCCGCTGGATTGATCTTCTGTATTCTAGGGCACATGCCCAGCGACCCATCCCAAACCAAGGGCTTCTCTGCGCGACCAATGCCATATGTTCTGTTCACGGGCTGTGGTCCACGGAAACGGTTCTTGCCTCCAGCATCTGCAGCATAGGGGATATTCCAGTAGGAACGGACCTTGTCTGTAGTGTTGGGCTTAATGGCCAGGTAGTCTAGTTCGACAATGTATGGATCTTCGGTGTTCTTCAACGGCGCAGAGAAGGGAGGGGCTGTAGGCCTCGATGATAACGGCGGTATCCATTCGGAGCTGGGTCGCAGATCGGGCGAGTAGAGGAAAGCGAACGTGAAGGCGAGAACGATGGCAGCGGCGAGACCAAGGATAACGCGCCGGTCGAAGATGAGACTCGAGTTGAGAGGACGTACTGCCATGATAGACAAACGTGCGCGGGGGTACAAAAGAGTGTAAAGGGTACTGAAGGGTGGTGTGAAGAAGAAAGAAATCAACTCAAGACTGTCAAAGTCACGTCTGCAGCTGCACCCGGGGCAGCAAATTCAGGGACGCAGACG